GCTGCAAACAGGCGCTGCCGGTCAGAAAAAAGGAAGGGTGGCTCAGAGGGCAGAGTCATGCGCCCAGTTTGTGGAATTCTGAGCCCAAAGGAGGGAGCTGAGAGCCACAGAGGATTTTTCCCGGGCCTCGGAAGCTGATGTGTTCTGCTGGCCTGGATGCGGAAGCTGCCTGGCCCCTGTGACTTCGCGTTACCGTCCGTGGCCCCCTGGTTGGAGCTGGCACGTTCGTAACGGACATCCCACGCCTGTCTCACAGTTGCATGTTGGGAGCAGACCACGAGTGTCTTCAATTTCACACGTCCACGCTGGAGAGGGATTGTTCTTGGGGTTGTTCTTAATGAATTGCTCATCTAAACTCAATTTAGCTGAGAGATTTTGGGCTTGTGAGCAGATGAGATTTAGATGAGATTCTTATGCTCTGAGTTCATATTGTGATGGGTGGAGACTTGCCTTCGTCTGTTTTCTGTTGCTTATAATAGAATGCCTGAAACTAGGTAATTGATAGAGTAAACGGCTTTATTTCTTACAGTTAGGGAGGCTTAGAAGTCCGAGGTCGAGGGGCTGCATCTGGGGAGGCCGTCGTGCTGGGGGCTCTGCAGATCCTGGAGGCAGTGCAGGGCACCCCACGGCCAGTGGGCTGAGTGTGCTGGAAGGTCTCTTCTTCTCATAAAGCCACCAGTCCCACTCCTGTGATAGCCCATTAATCCATCAATCCATTCATGAATTATTATGTAGGTTTATTTTGAAATAACAAGTCTTCACAAGATGTGAAGCAAGAACTGAAGGGAGAAAAAAGAATCAGAGAAATCCACAATTATATTCAGAAACTTCATGGATTAATGGATTAATGGGTGCCCTCTTAAAAGCCCCACCTCTCAGTACTGCCACCTTGGGGATTAGGTTTCAACTCGAGTGTTAGAGGTGACACACATTTAAACTGTAGCAGTGCTCTTGGGAACATTGGAAGAGGGGTGACTTTATGCTGCGTTTGGAAGGGACTTGGATCGTTGGAGCCACAGCGCAGACGGTGCAGACATAATCTAAAGATGTTCCCTCAAGCGTCCCGCCTTCTGGTTATTCAGTCAAATACTCACCCAGATACAGCCGTAAAGGGACTTTGCAGATGTAATTGAAATGTGATCAGCTGATCATAAAATAGGACACTATTCTGGGTTATCTGGATGGGCCCAATGTAATTACATGAGCCCTTGAAAATAGAAGAGCAAGGCAAAGGGTCAGAGGGATTCGGCAAGAGGGGAGGTGAGAGAGACTGGAACCAGCCCACTGTGACTGGGGCAAGGTGCAGAGGAATGCGGGTCGTGGTGAGGAGCTGGGCATGTTCCCAGGTAACCGCCAGCGGAGAATCAGGGACCTCAGCTCTGTTGCTGGAAGGGAGTGAATACTTCTAACAGCTTGACTGAGGTCAGAAGCTCATTCTTCCCCCAAACCTTCACAGACAAATGTAGCCCTGCTGACATCTTGATTTCAATGTCATGAAGCCCTAAGTGGAGGAACTAGCTGAGCCACACTGCCCAGAATTCTGGCCACAGAAACAATGTTATGATAAATAAACGCATGTTGTTTTCAGCCACTCAACCTGTGCTCATTTGCTATAGCAGTGACATAAAACTAATACAGCACAACATAAGGGACAAACAGAAGAGTAATAATAAAAGGGCAGACATAAATTCAAACATATCAACAATTACGGTAAATGTAAATGGTCTGACAACACCGTTAAAAGGCAGAGATGATCAGATTAGATCTGAAAGAAAGGCCTAACTGTATGCTGTCTACAGGAAACTCACCTGAAACATAATTATACTAGTAGGTTAAAAATAAAAGGATTGAAAAAGATATACTAGACAAACTAAAATTAAAACAGAAGCTAGTGTGACAATATTAATATCCAATAAAGCAGACTTCAAAAAAATGAAAATTACCAGAGATAAAGAGGGATATTATATAATAATAAATGATTCATCTTACGAAAATATAATAATTTACATAAGTTTATTTTTAAATAACAAATCTTCACAATATGTGAAGCAAGAACTGAAAGGAAAAAAGAAATCCACAATTATATTGGAGACTTTGACCCTTTTTGTCATTGAGTGGCAGAGCAAATAGACAGGAAATGAACAAATATATACAGAAAACTTGAGCAACATCATCAATCGTCTCGACCCAGTTGACTTTTATGGAACGTTTTGCCCCATAACAAGCAGAATGCACATTATTTTCAAGTGTACCTGGGACATTCAGCAACATAGATCACATTGTGAGTCATAAAACAATCTCACTAAGCCAAAAAATTAAAATTATTCTAATTATATTCCTTGACTATAATAGCATGAAAGTAGCAATTGATAACAGAAGGATATATTGAAAATCCCAAGTATTTGGAAATATTAAATAATTTAAATAGCATACCAATAAGGAAATATAAAACGAAATTAAGAAATATTTTGAATTTAAAACAAATATGCAACATCAAAATATTTGTGATCTTGCCAAAACAATTTTTGGGGTAGAATTTATAGCATTAAATGCTTATATTTAAAAAAAAATTCTCAGATCAATAATTTTAGCTTCTACCTTCAGAATCTAGAAAAAGAAGAAAAAAAACCTAAATCGAGAAGAGAGAAGAAAATCACGGAGATCAGAGCAAAAGTCATTTATTTAGGTTTAACAGAGACAAACAGAAAAATCAATGAAACCAAAAGCTGATTGCTTGGGGAAAAAATCAATACAATTGATGAACTTCTAGCCAGATTGACCAAGTGAAAAAGAACGAACGCACAGATTGTGAAAATCAGGAATGAGAAAAGGGATGTGGTGACTGATCCCAGAATCACTGAACTGGAAAACTACAGAAGTTCTATAATCTGACAGCTTGGATGAAATGGAAGAATTCTTTGAGAGATGCAAACTACCGAAACTCATCCAAGAGGAAGCAGCAACCTGAGTCTACATCTATTAACGATGACAAGTTACTGGTAAAAATCTTTCCGGGAGAGAGAACGTCAGGGGCCAGAGGGTTGGGATTTGGGGCCAGGCGTTGGAGCGCAGAGTAAGGGCAGGTCAGGCCTGGGGGGACCCTGTGCCCAAACCAGGGGCCCGGCCGAGCCTGCTGGCAGAATGGACCCGAGCCCCTGACGGGAGGTCGGCCCGGTCACAGCTGGCCCGGGCACCGTTAATGCCAGGTGACACTTCCCACGCAGTCAGTGCCATCTGGCTACGTTCGGGAACGTCTGGGCGATGAACAGGCACCTCAAGAGGACCGCGGGCCACGTTAGGAGGGAAGGGCATGTTGCACGAGCTGCCCTAGTGAAGCCGTGCGGGTGTGGAGGGAAGTTTGACTAAATCGCCGTGTCTTCTGGTCCGGTGGGGCCGGCGGCCTCCTCAGCTCCTCTCAGCCGTGGGGTCTCTGCCAGAATGCGGGGACAAACGTAAGCACCTGCTGTTTTCCAGAACTCTGCTGTGATCACTGGTTCATTTCCGCCACGTTAACCCAGTTTCAGTTGTTGATACATTTTCCTGCTTTTTACAGCAATGTTGTTGATCTCAGAAGAGCACGTATAGCATGTTTAGTAAGTTAAAAATAAAAGGCCGTGAGAGCACTGCTAATCTACTTTGCACACACTTCGTGCAGCATTTACTTATTTTTATTCTTTTGTTGTATATCGAACAGCTGCTCTGTTATATTTATGTCTAGGTAGCTCTGAAGAGGCAGAAATAAAAGGTTGACGTTTTGAAATTACAAACAGTACCCGTAGTACAAATGTTCCCATGTGATTGAAAATGGAGAATTTCTTGCTCAACACATTATTCTAATGAACTCTACGATTTTGGCCAAGTCAACGAAAACGTGAAATGATGTTCTTCTAAATATGAAAAATACTAGAGGCTTATACTTAATTACCATAATGCTTTATAGTTGCTTGTCTGTATTCTTGGCCTATTATCATTATGACATCTTACGGATCAGATACAACTTTAAACAATTTTTGTGCAATCTCTAGAAAGCATTTGGAACATTTAAATGATACTGTATGCTGGTTTTGAATAAAACTCATTTGGCAGTGACTTCTAAATTCTGCATTAACTCGAATATTTTTAACAATGATTTGAATAATTAGAGGGAGTGAAGTGGACAGGAAATTAAAACCCTGGGTTTTTGATGTCAGTCATCAGTTTATGACCTGCGACCCCTCACTTAATAATGGCCTTCGCAGCTCACAGATTTCTTATGCAGATTGATGAGAATGAATGGATTGAAGGGTTTGAAAATACAAGTCCATAAAAAAATGAATCATTATAGTCCCAGGACACCGGTTCCTTCTAAGCACATACACGGCTACTGTTTTCTTGGTTGTAATATGTTCTAGTCGGCGGAAAGCATCACAGAATTGACTCTGCTAAACGCCAGTCACTCTTTACAGTTCTACCAGGGGGGGATCAATACTTTCAGAAGGCAAAGAGATCCAAAAATTTAAAGGAAAAGGTGTTATTTTTTTCTTCCAAATTACAGTACACAAAATGTCCCCCACTAAAAAGCAAGACTGAGTTTAAAAAGAAAAAGAAAACTTGAGGTATCACATGGATTTCATTGCAGACATTTTTGCTTTAATTTCCACCTTCACTTATGTTTGTTTAATTATAATGCTGATGGATTCCGTCTTTTTTGGGGGAAGATCCTTCAAATGGACATAAGCTGTCCAATGACATATGGTCACAATGAAGGTCAAAATAAGACGTCGTAATAAAAGCAGTTGTCGTCTTGCGAGGGCAGAGTGCCGGCAGCACCAGGATTGACACCGTGGTTATCGGAGTGTCGTGCTAGGGATGGGTGACTTCTGCGTTGTGACACTAAGCCATGGCTCCAGGTCATGCGTGGCGGGCCCAGGCGCGTGTGCGGTGTTTGTCCTTTTGGTATTTGTGTTACTGCTCAGGTTCTCGCCGGCCTGCGGCTTTCGGGCACTGTGAGGTCCGGCCAGATGGACGCTGAGCTCTCGCAGCTCCGACCCCCACGCCCCCTCCTCCACCGGGAGCCTGGCCGGCGTGGGCAGCGCTGCGGCGGCGGCTCCTTCCTACCTGCCTCTCGGCGGCGTTCGCTCATGGAGCAGCTATTTATACATCACCTCCTGCTGCAGCGCCCAGCTGGTTCGGTTGTGGTCGCTTTCCCCTTGCAGAATGCCAACTGCAGCGGTATTTCTCCCTCGTTTAAAAAAAGCACCTTTGAGACAGGTCATCTGTTTGCTTTTCGTCGTATTTTGCGTGCGAAGGAAGAGAGTGGATTTCACTCTGTCTCAAGGACACAGCGCCGTCTGCACACTTCGGTTTAGCATCATTTCCCTGAAATCTCTTTCTGCACCCTTTATCAGGGAGAAGGTGTTTCTGAAATGGAGTAATGTGGATGCTAGAATTTAATAATGGAGATTAATCCGCTGGAGAGCCCTGGGGCTCTAGGCCTCAGTGGCGTCCTGTGGAAACCTCCTGTAATGAAGTTACAGTATTTTCTCGTGTTTTTACTTTCCTTGAAGTATCTTGCTTACCAAACACTGTGCTCACCTCTTTTATTTTTCTGTTTCAAACTTTATCTGGTGGCTGGAGTTCCTAATGTGGATACTATCTTACTGTTTTTACCTTTAAACTCAAGATTTATTTTTATTATGTCTTTTTTGAGATCTTTATTTAACTGCTCCAGTGATGGCTGCTTTCTTTCCAATACTCGCTAATTGGGTTTGTGTCGGGACATTGCCAAGAGCTGCGCGGCAGTGCCCGATTGTAACGTGGGACACCGAAGGGTGTGGGGCGAGGGGAGTTCAGAACGTTTTGGGTAAGATTGACGACTTATCCGAAATGCTCAGACCTCACGTTTGAGAGGAGGGGAAGGGTAAACACCCTGGAAGGAGTAAGTGGGTTCCCGACAGGGAAGATTATTTTTTAATGTTCTGGAAAATATTGATGGGCTCACAGAAAGATAAATAGGGAAAAATACGACCACAGACTTAGTAACAGTCATGGAGAAACCTGGCTAAGCACGGTGTTAGGTCGCGTCTGGGACTCCGGGTTTCTGAGATTCTGTGTTCCAGGCAAAGACTGAAACGCACACGTCAGGTTGCGGCGTCTGCTCACCGCGGTATTGTCACTGTTGTGAGTTTGTGACCGACCCTGCGTTCTGTCTTTGTCAGGGTAAGTGGGGGAAATTATGTTCTCCTTGCAGCTCAGGGAAGGCTGACTTCAAATTCCGTAGTTTAAAGACTTCTGTAGTGGAGACTGAGGAAGGACAAATTAGCAAGAGAAGACAAGGCAGGCGGAGGAAGATGATGGCTGGGAGGCGGAAGAGCACAGCTGTGGGTGATTTGCCGTAAGCGGTGAGGGGTGCAGGTGAGCTCAGGAGACGCGGCACCGTCCTCACCTGGGGGGAGGACGTCTCGGAGGCGGTGCAGGTTCCGGATTCACGGCGGCTGTGCCTGGCTTCCGCGAGGGCCGGACGACGTCAGAGTTAGGCTGGGGGGAGCTGGAAGGACGAAAGGCCCAGCGCATATCGTCAGAAACATCAGCGGTCCCTGAGCAAGGCGTTAGACGTACCTAGCTGGAGTTGTGTGTCGTTAGTGCCCGTGAATCTTCTGTGTGCTGCGCTGTGTATGAGCATCTCGAGGTTTTCAGCAAATATGGCAGAGCCCCGTGAAGATTTGGCCACCTTGTAGGGAGACGCATCTTGGCACACACTTAAGTAAGTGTGTAAAGAAAGATACAGAGAAGTCATCGTGTCAAACACCGGCCTCTGGAGTCAGACTGGGGTCGACTCCGCTCTGCGACTCGCCGGCTGAGTTCACCTGACACTCAGTTTCCTCCTCAGTTTTTCAGAATCTGGGGCAGCCAGCTGGACTACTTATGGCTGTTGTATAAAACGACCCGCACCACGCTGACCTCGGTGCTTTTGGGGAGTTGGTTATGAGGATGACTGTGTGTGAATGTTGGGAGAGCAGCATTGGGAGAGGCAAGCCACATGGTATCAAAGCCTTAGGCCCTGTGCGTGTCCGTGTGTGTCTGAGCATGCGTGTCCGTGAACGTGCGTGTTTGCGCATGGCGCACCCAAGAGCTTTCACTTTAAAGTCGTGGCACAGATCTGGGCTCGGGTTCCGGCCTGACGCCCCTGGGCTGTGACTTGGGTGAGTCACCGAGTCTTATTTGAGTCCTCTCCTGCGCTGTGACTCCTGCCTCCAGGGCTGCAGTGTGGGTGCTAACGATTCTCTCCAAAAGTGCAATCAGAAAGACGTAATCCATCTGTCTCAACCACCCGTGCATAATTTGGAGGATTTATAGATTTCATTTTTAATATATGAAATTACGTCATTGATGTTATCTGGTTGTTATGTTCAAGTCATTTAGATTTCTAAAATTACATTTTACTCTGTTCATGGCTTTGTTTCTCATTTTTATTAGAATAATCAAAATTGTAATATAAGATTACCATGTTGGGATAGTATTTAGACTCCAAAAGGCATGTTTTTTTTGGAGAAATGTTTGGATGATTTTTGATGAGATTATATTTACTTTTTTAAAAAGCCCTACATAGCAAAACATCTTTATAAAAGATTTCATATCAGCACTCATTCACTCTGAGGCCAGATTTAGAGCTATTTCAACCCCCCAGAGCAGAGCTCCGAGTCTGGAAGTAAACGGGGTACTCGAACATGCAGCACAAATCTGCAAGGCAAACCCTGGGTTCAGTTGGGCACTTTATTTCTCGGAATTTCTAGCAGAGCCTTATTGAGTCTTTGTTAGCGTAGCATTTTTAATAAGCTAATTTACCAGCTTTACCGACCCACCTCACGTCGAATCTGAGAACTAGCAAATGACTGACCAAAGCGGGTACCGATGGCTGGAGTGGTGACCCCCTGTCATCGGGGAGGAGACGGTGACCCCAGTGTCAAGGTGGGTGTGTCTTCCTGCGGGTTCTGGTGTCCGTGTCCCCCCCGCCTGCTGTGGGTCACCGAGAAGGAATGCCGGCCCCCCACCGTGCACGAAGACAAGCCTATGTGTCTTCCACGTCACTCTAGTTGCCACTGAAGCATTTGACGTGCGACACGCACTTTCCTGGAACACGGGCGTTGCGGCATTCCGGGCGGCAGTGTGAAAGGCACGGATTTGAGCTTAGAAGGTCCGAGGCTGAGGGCAGAGAGAGCAACAGCCACCGTGCGAGGACGGACAGAGGGGGGACGAAGCCTGTGGCCGCAAGACAGTGGGGAGCGGACAGGATGCGGCAGAGGCTCAGGCTGTACCCGGGGGTGTAGGTGGGGGTCACCTTCAGGCTCCTGAGGGTCACCGCAGTCTGCTGAGAGTCCAGGTTTACGGGCTCTGCCTCGTGGAGCGTGTTGCAGTGGCTCCTGGCAGCGAGACGCGGGTCCCGGCGTGTTTTCTAACCCCCCCGTTCACTGTGGTGCTCACACCTGGAGAAATGGTGCCAGGGAGATGGGGACGTTGGCTGAGGATTTTGCGTAGAGGGGTGTTAAAAGCGTTCCAGAAAGATGATTGATCTGCTGGATGGCATGCCAGAGGCCAGTAGAAGCCGCTGACTGGCTCAGCGTGGAGGTGATGAGAGAGAGCCGCGCTCCTGGCGGCAACGCGGGAGGCGAAGAGTCCTGGGTGTGCGGGGCAGAGTCGCTGGAGTGTGGTGACTCAGCGAACGTGGGTGGAGCAGGACGGGCGTGAGCAGGGAGAGGAGAGGAAGACGGGCCTGAGGGCGGCGGGTGGGGCTTCCGCGGGGCTCGCCCTTCCTCTGGTCATGGCTCAGCTGATTATTTGGGAGTCACTGGGACACGATGATACGATGCCTGGGTTTTAATTCCGCCCCTTTCTAGCTTAGGCAAGTTCTTCCCCTCACTGAGCTTCAGGGGTCTTATCCGTGACGGGGCGGGCCAGCCTCACAGAGCCGTCAGGTGGAACCGTGCACAGACGGCGCCGTCCGCCTCCCTCCTCTAATCCGCAAACGCCAGAGAAGACCTCCCGCGCATGCTTCACTGGTCTTTGGTCCCCGTCTGTTCACAGAACAAGAGTTTTGATTGTTTTTACACATCTTTTTTCCCTCAGCGCAGAATTTCTACACAAGAAGCATGAATCTAAATTTCTGGGATTGTTTTGATGGTTTTGTCCAAATATCAGGCGCTGCCGTGTGGCACGCCTGAAGGACGGACGTCCTTGCTAATAGTAAACAAACTGCTTCCAGGCCACAGCCTCGCACAGTGCGCCGTTCTGTGCTCAGTCCCAGGCCGGCCTTCCACTCATCGGTTCTCTGGGTGGGAACATCGGCCGGGCAAGTGGACGGTTAAAAACATGGCTTCTCCACTGCTGGGGGAACGTGATCAGTTTCAGGCACAATCTTTACTCTTTTGGGGCTAGGGGCCATTTTTGCCAAAACGGTTTTGTTAGATACATGAATATTAAAATGAACTTGGAGGTATTGACGCTCTCCCAGGGAAAAATCTGAGTCAGTTTAACCATATTGATGGCCTAAAAGGGGAGAAAGGGAGATGTGTTTTGTCTTGTCAATTTCTTTTAAGGAAAAAGACTTCAATTGTAATGTTTCAATATGTCATTTTTTTTTTTTAGTCCATGAGATGGGAATTGCTATAGTAGTTCATCTTTTGAATTAAATGACAGAGTTCCTTCCTCCGTATGCTTGTAGCAATAGCTAAAATGGCCTGCATAGAGAACTGTGTCACCTTGGGTCAAAGAACTGTTGATTGTGGTTTTGCAAAGCCGGTTTCACTGCTGCCTGAGCAGTGCAAGAAAGAATATAAATGTGTGTGTGTTAAGACTTGGAGAACCTGGAAGTGTTTTGCGCTTGGCAAAATTAAATTTCACATTGAGACAGTTTGTGTTTAGCAAAACTCAAAACATATTTTGAAAACTGCTTTCTCCCTTAAGTTTTTACCTCTGGGTATTTTAAGTGATATTACTTTTGTTTCTGATTTATTTCCAATATTTTCTGAGAGATTTCTGATTACCGTGGGACCTTTTTCTTTGAACCTGGGAATTTTGTCTTTCCAATATTAAATCGTACTCTAGTCCAGAAAGGCTGAGTTCAGTTTAAATTTTTTAATTCGTTCTTCGATGGTTGGCCAGATATCTTCAGTCATTCCCGTGTGTTTGTGTCTAATTGTAATGAAATGAGTCTGTCTTGTCATTGCATGTGCAGT